CCCACAGAAATGCCCTCTTGGACAAAGAGGGCAGCAACATACAAAGAAATAGTTCTGATCAAGCCCAGCTCAATGAACCCATGAATTTGTTGGAGTCCTTTACAGGAACTCCAGACAGCAGTATTACCAAGAAGCCCTGCCCCGGCATGAGTGACAGCAATGCTGCTGTTCCCTGAGAGACCTGCCGTCAGCTCCGTGGATATGTCCTCTGCTCTGGCCCCTTCGACAAAGTCCTGCTTCTATACCCTCAGGCCTTAGTGCATTTTGTGAGTTTTGTGATTAAGTGCATGTGTGTGTGTGCATATGTCTGTGCATGGGTGTTACGTGTTCATGTGTGTGTGTGTGTGTGTGTGTGTGTGTGCGCGCGCGCGTGCGTGCGTGCGCACGTGTGAAGGTTTCCATGTCTTTGAAAAATACATGAGCTGTGCAGGAATCACCTTTACACTCTGAACCATCTCACTGGCCCATCAAAATACCTTTTATGAGATTTTGTCAACTGTTCATTTTTTTGTACCATTTGCGTTATCATATATTCCCAATGTGCACACTTTTCCTGACTCTATCTTTTAAGTACACACACTCCAGTTTACTGTTAGCTTTGGACTCCATCGCAGGACTTGTTTCTTTTGAGTTTCTACAGTCTCTTGTATGGATTGTTTTTTGAGAGGGGACAAGACTGTTGGAATATAGACCAAACACTAGGAATTCTCCGTGAAATACCAAGTTCTATTATCTTACCAATTACTGTAAATGAAGGAACAGGAGAGGCGACAGGAAAGAACCCCAGCTAAGTTCCATCTTTCAGATGACATTGGCATTGACACGTATGCATGCTGTCAACCTTTGTGCTGACCCTGGGGAGACAAGGTTAGCGAGCAGCAGCGTGAATCACAGCATCATCGCTGGCAATGAGACACTGGAGGCCTTTGTCTCATTTCCTTGTGGCTAGGGACAAAGTGGTCATAATTTGAGATGCAGTGAACAAGACTTCATAGCTCCTGACACGCAACACAGGGGCTGGGACATGGCTCAGCAATGGAGTGCTTGCCTAGCACCCAGAAGATGCTCTGAGCTCCATCCCTAGAACCATGAAACAAATCTAAAGACAGAGGCTATTTCCGGGTGTTTGTGCTACATCCGGCAGTTGTTATAGGACCCCGATAAGAGCATTAATTAATGACACTAATTAATTAGAGTCCTTTCTGCTTTGAAGGGCAGTGTCATTAGCAGCTTCCAAGAAGAAGCTGATGATTGTCTTAACCACACAGGTGGGCTTGGGAGTCAGTTCTAATGAAAGAGGCCAGAATCTGCCCTTTGCCCCCAGACAGGTGGGATTGAGTTCTTCAGCGCCTTGTTCACATACACTCTGCGGATTATGGGATTGCAGCTAGAACCCCGGGGTCCTATCAGTGAGCCCAGTGATGCCTTCATGCCTAACTAGAACATGAGTAACCTGGGAAGATCAGAAACCAGACCGCAGTGCAAGCTTGCAGGCTTGTCCACAACACATTCTTGCCCTTTAGATTAAAGTGCACTGGGTTGGATCCCTTCAGGTTTCAGGGCGGGTAACCTGACACTGTGAACTTTACCTACCCTCTCAGACTGCCTGTAAACCCTTAGCATTTTTATTTCTATTCTTTTACTTTATAAGTAAGTCGTTAAAAAAGCTTAATTTTATTGCAGATGAAAACGACTATGACATAAGTTAATATGGGCAGAACGCATCTTGACATACAGGTGGATGGCGGCTATGGACTGGACTTAATGAGAAACAAAACTGTTGGGTTACATTCTACATATATGCCCTCCCCTGGCAAATGTCTGAGGCCACAGTCTAAATCCAAGACTATCTGTCTGAGTTCCATCAAATTTCTTTGGGGAAATGTGGCAGTGTCTAAGGGCATTGGTGACAGAGGGAAGAAATGGTTCTAACCAAGTCTAGCCTGTGAACTGCTCAGCTTACTGGGCTCACTGACAGAGGTGTACATGATCCACAAATGTCTGCATCCCTGAGAAGCCCTCCTACCCCAGCATGGATGACGGCTTCATGGCAACATGGATAGAGCCACCTCAGTTAGACTTCTACCCTCTAAATCAGTGCCTGCCAACCTTCCTAACGGCTGTGACCCTTTACTGAAGTTCCTCAGTGGTGATCCCTCAACCATGAAATCATTTTCGCTGCCACGTTGTCACTGTAATTTTGCTACTCTTATAAATCATAATGTGAACGCTTTTGGAGTTAGAGATTCACCAAAGGGGTTGCAACCCACAAGTTGAGAACCGCTGCTCTAAATGCTATAGTTCCCCTCTCCCCAGTAAAAGACTGTTCACCTGAAGCAGGATTATATGTGGTGGAAATAGGCAAGAGGGTGTGGACTCTCAGGTGACATTCTGAAGATTCCCCATTCCTCCTTCTGTGAAGGAGCAACATCAGGGCTGATCTTGTTGGGGGTCTCTTCTGGGCATCCAGAACTCTTCTTATTAAGATGGTCTTGGCTGTTACCTTTTGAGGACTAGATTCCCCAGTCCACCTCTCTCTCTCTCTCTCTCTCTCTCTCTCTCTCTCTGTGTGTGTGTGTGTGTGTGTGTGTGTGTGTGTGTGTGCGTGCATTTAAGTTGTATGACACTATTCCTGGAGTGACAAGAACAAATGTCTACTCAGCTCAAATAGGGAGCCAACATCAAACAGCCTAAAGTAATGATGTCACCAAAGTCCAACTTGGTGAACCAATGAGTTTCTTGGAGTTACTACTGAGAGTGGATTAGGAGGCTTTACAGGAACAGAATGACTCAAAGGCAACTATGTCACTGAAAGCCCACCCCAGCATGGGTGATGACTCATGAAACTCAGAGCCCCGGAGCCCACTGCACAACTCACAGGCAACTTAATGACTGAAGAGTCTCCTCTTTACTGCTTATATAGCTTTGAAATCAGGGAAGGGGTCTTGTACATCCTGAAAATTTCAAAGATTTCTTGAGACTCATGAGTTGTTTATTTCCTGAATTTAATGAGCTTTATTCCAGGATGGAATGCTTCAATTCAGAGGCTTGTGTCTGTGTATATACCTGTTTGCTAAAAGGGACATTAACATTAAAAGTCTGTTGGCACCAAGTGGACTTTCTTGTCAATGATTTCAGGAAGGCTGAGAGACTAATGAAGGGAATGCTTTTCTCTTCATTAGGCTGTTTGCTTATTGTTGTAGCTACATATTCATACCTGGTAGACAATGGTCTTTAATGTCATACCTGCAAATTCCTAAAGCTCTCTCACCAACCTTGTGAAATCAGTAGGCAACCTGTGCCTCACCCTTAGGAATGACAGCAGCTGTTAAGAGGGCAGATGCTTGTAATGTCCAGGCTCAGATGGTAGCTCTGGTGTGAGAGATAGAACATGGATGTTGAGCCAGCTCAGTGCCCAGCTATGAAGCTCAGATGCCACAGATCCAGGCTGTTAGCCTCGCTGCCATCCTCACTTACACTGTCATCCTGTGCCCCGTAGGGAAAGAGCCATCAGCCTCTACAGAGATCCAAAAGAAGATGGGTTCTCACCACCCTGGATCTGGAGGAGGAAGACCCAGGTCCCTTTCCCAAACTGGTTGGGGAGGTAAGGACACGCTCTGAACTTTGTTGACAGCATGTCCCTTCTGGAGGGAGGAGTGGCCTTTGAAAAGATTCTTCCTGGTATTTGTCGATTGTATCTTTAGGGAAAGAAGGCAGGGAGGGTCACACCACTCATTTTTTTTTTTTTTTTTTTTTGTGGCTTAAATTTTTTTTTTTTATTAACTACAGTTTATTCACTTTGTATCCCAGTTAAAAGGAGCCCTGACAGCTTCCTGCCTGACTTAGAGCCTGACAGTGGGGAAGTGTAGGCAGGGGCCTGGGCTAGGACTGCTTGATGCCTGATTTCTAGTGTCCATGCTTCCTCCCCCTTCTCCCTGTAATGGTGAATAACTAACATGCAGATCTGCTTCCCTGGCTCCATGCAGATTCATTTTATTCTTGACCATAGGGAGAGATTATTAAAATGTCTGCTTTGCTACAGGGCATGGTTGTACACACCTGTAAAGTTTTATCACTTGGGGGGAAGGGAAAATTGGCTCCATGGATAAAGGTGCTTGCTGCTGAACCTGACAACCTCAGTTTGATCCCCAGGACCCATGTAGAGGAAAGAGAGAACTAACTGCTGGTAGTTAGTTCTCTGATCATCAGGTAGTCCTCTGATCTCCACTGGCACATGTACACACACACACACACACACACACACACACACACACACTCACAAATGCTGATATAATAATTTACTTAGAAAAGAATGAAAGAAGGGTTAGGCAATGGCTGCTCACAGCTTCTCTTCCTAAAAGAGCCTTTCTTATTCTTCAAGAGAAAACCCATATTAGCCGATTGGTATGTGTTATTCCAGGTACTTCAGGCTCAGGTTTAGGAATGTCACTGTGAATTAAAAGACCAGGATCTGTGTGCACATGCCCTTTTCATTTAAGGATGTGGCTATCAGAGTTCCATCTTCATCCTCCTGGAGGGCAGCAGAGTACCTGAGGCTGTGAGATGGGCATCCTAGTATGTGGTTCTTTCTAATACTATGAACATCGGTGCTGCTTCCAGTTTCTCTAGTCCAGTACTAGCTGTAACCCATATCTTGATTTAATTGCCTTAAAAGACTTATCTTATTTTTAATTGTGTGTACATATCAGTGCAGATGTCTGTGGAAGCCACAGAAACAGAATCTCCCTGGAATTGGAGTTACAGTTGGTCATGAGCCCCCTGAAATGGGTGCTGGGAACAAATCTCTGGTCCTCTGTGAGAACAGAACAGTGAGCATTCTTAGCTACTGAGCCTGCTTGCAGCCCTCTGCCCTGGTGTCTTCATTCCCACAGCTCTGCTAAGCCCTTTTCCTCTTTATCCACCCACTGGACATGTGACGGCTTGTTACTGTTCCTGAAAGATGCCTAGGTTCTTAGCCTTGCTTTGCGAAGGTCACCGTGATTTAGTTGCAGGTTCCTTTGATAAATTTTTCTGTTTTCCTTCTTCCAGCTGTTCAATAATATGTCAAATAATGTGTCACTGATGTATTTAATCAGAGGACCTGGTGTGGATGAATTTCCAGAGATTGGCTTATTCTCAATGGAAGATCACCAGAGTGGAAAAATATATGTTCACCGCCCTGTCGATCGAGAAGTGACACCATCTTTTATGGTATCTAAAATGGGATAAAGACTAAGCTTGTGTTTAGTGCAAAGCTCCTGTAAGGTATTGAACTTGACACGTGCTTGTTGGCTGACTCTGTTGGGATCTGGGAAGTTAGCACATTTTCTAGTGTGGCAAGTTGTAGAGGTACCTGTGGGACACAGCTAGCTTTGGGCTCACCTTTAGGGTTTGCTAACATGGGTGTGAGGTGCTTTCCACTGTCCTGACAGGATGAAGGAACCCTCTGTAAAATGCTGTGATTTGGCTTCTGGTGGGGTGACATTTGGAGTGTGGAGAGCAGCTACACACAGACCCCAGCCTGGTTGCCACTGAGGGAGGGTTTGCTGACCAGTTATCCAGGCCCTTGTGGACTCCGGTGATTTTTCGCACTCCAGGGGACTTCTATGCCATTGAAATTCAGCTTCCAAACCAGGAAAGAAAATTACAAAGAAAGAGGCCTCCATTCACAGGGTGCTGTATCAAGTTCCCACCTCTCCTAGCTACACAGGTTGCCATCCTTTGTTCTGTGGACTTGGGGAGCAGGGCTTGGCTGTCAGTTAACCCCTTCAGGGTGGGAATATGATTTTGACTATCCGAGGAAAACAATTTATGAAGGGTTCCCCAGCAGCCTCTAGACTACTTATATACAGAACATTAGCCTTAAAGTCACCGGAAGGCTTGGACTTACTTTTAAAGATGCGGTATGCTCCCCAAAGTTGAGTATGTGGTTTTTCTGTAGCCACAGGATCTCCTGCCTTCCTGTTTGGGGCTGCTGAAGGAGTTTCTCAGGTGTTAATAAACAAATGCAGCCCTGGGCAGCTCTGGGAGTCGCTAAAGTGCTTGCTGTTCAAGCACGAGGCCCTAGGTTTGATTCTCAGAACCCATGTACAAAACTGAAAATTTCGTGCAACTGTAACATCAGAGCTGGGGACTTAGGGACAGGAGGATCCTAGCTGGCCAGCCAGTCTAGCAAAGCTGGTGAGCTCCAGGTGAATGAGAGACATTGTTTAAAAAAATTTCTGTGGGGAGACTGAGGCAGATACTAGGCGTAGGCCTCTGGCCTCCACACACAGTCACACATGTGTGCACATATACGTGAACCACATGCAGATGACTTCATTCATTCCGATGTAGGCAGAGAGTACGTCTCTAGCCAACCCTGAAGTGCTGCTGGGGCTGCTGTTCTGCGGCTATGGGGCTCAGGACCGGCACACAGCAGCAACAGGGGTTTCAACAGGATTGAACCAAATGTTTAGTCTTGATGTGGCCTTGTTTGCTTTGAATGTTTGACGGGGACGTTCGGAGCTGGCATGGGTGACACATTGCAGGCTGGACAGGATGCCTGCTGCCTGGAAGCTGGCAACACAGGAGCATTTTCTGAAACTTGGGGTTGAGATGGATGAGCTGTGCAAGTCACAGAGAGTTCCCAAGCACCATTAAGAACAAAAAGGTGTAATATGTTAGGGTGCGCATCATACCCTTGGGGCCTGATGTGAGGTGCTCACTGGAGAAGACCACCTGGACATGGGTTAAAGCCAGTAGGAAGTCTTTATTATCTGGCAGGGGACTGCACTGTGGGTTTGGTACCCTAGTGCAGACCCGAGCCCTCCTTGGGGTGGGCTTTTAAGCACAGATCTTATCCTGGGTTGATATCCTTAGTTAGCAAGAACAGCTAGCCAGAAGCAGAACCACAAAAGCCAAAAGGTAAGGTTAGTACATTCAGGGACTTCCCCAGAACTATTGTCGTTGATGGATTAGGTCTCTGTGCTCTGTTTGGAAGGAGGTGTTTCCTTCATGCTGGGTTCCAAGGCGTGACTGGTACGTCCATCATGGCATCATTTGTGTTAAGGACTTGGGGCCTGTTATACAGTGACACCAAGATGACATTTGTCTTTTTTTTTTTACTCTCTCTCTCTCTTCCTCTCTCTCTCTCTCTCTCTCTCTCTCTCTCTCTCTCTCTCTCTCTGTATGTGTGTGTACATGTGGGCTTCCATCTATATTCCGGTGCGTGTGGAGGTTGGGTGTCTGTCTTCCTCTATTACTCTTCACCTTATTTTTTTGAGACAGGGTCTCTCACTGAAGCAAAACTCGTCTGTTTTTTAGAATGGCTGTCCAGCCAGCTAGAGGACCTACTTGTCTCTACACCCCCAAGGCTGGGATACAGATGTGAACCACTATGACACCTTTTCTCATGGGCCCTAGGGATCCAACTCTTTCTGCAGGATAGACACTTCACTAACTACACCATCTTCCCAGACCTCACAATGGTCCTTCGTATAGATTTATGTACATATGCAAATGCTATGAAAAACCAAGCCGCCTGGCTCTCTCATTTGACTATAAACATTCACAAAAGCAAATACAGGGTGGAAATTCTGAGATGGCACGCTCACCCCAAATCCCTCTTTTCCATGACTCTAATTCTCTTTCTCCTTAATGTCAGATTTCCTTGAATTCTGTCCATTTGTGCATTTGTGGTTAGGTTTCAAGTTCATCTCTCCCATCAGAATTTACATTCTAAGAGGTGCAAGTCCCTGGCCTCCATCATGACCCTCTCTTCAGGGTAAGGAGCAGGGCTTTTCATATAGTTGTGTCTCAGATAAGAACGTTGGATGAGTAGGTGAGGGACAAGCCTGGTAAAATCAGGTCTTCTCTCTAGGATCCAAGAGTCTCATCACACCTAGCAAAAAGATGGGCTTGGGTCTCAGTCCACGGCAGTTGTGACTTTGTCCTATTAGGCCATTGGGTCCTTCTGATGCAATTAAGATGAGGTCATATTGGACCAGGATTGGCCAATATCCTAATAAGAAGAAGGATATTCAGACACAGAAGAGGGTGAACACTAGGGGTTAAACTAGGAGGAAATGGAGGCAGAGACTTGAGTGATACAGATGTCCATAAGGCCAAGTGTCCTCGGGCTCACCAGTGACCAGAAGCCCCATAAAGAGCAGCTGAAGTAGGCTCCATCTCAGAGATTCTAAAGGGCATCCTGCCATAGTTGGTTTCAGTCCCAGCTTCCAGAGGATGAGGACAAATTCCACTGTAATGGTGAAAATATCACCCTCAGATGGAGGTCACCAGAGAGGAGAAGTGGCATAAGCCCTGCTTCACCCAGCATCTCGTTCTAACTGGCTGCTTTTCTTCATACGTGCTGATTTTTGGTTTGGGGACATGGAAAGACGGGCACCATTACAAATTAAGCAAACACACAGAAGCTGCAAATAGAAAGCGGAGAAGCATGCTATTTCCTGATACAACATGAGGGGCGTTCTCTAAAGTTAGACAGACAAAGCACATAGAATTTGGGTTTGAGAGGTAGAGAGGATGGGCTCACTAGTTCGTGTTATGATCCTAAAAGAAATCTGTAAAAATCTGTAGATCATTGCAATATGATTTATGATAAATTCATGAAGAGAAGAATTTCTTTTTTTTTCCTGCGTAGGAATCTTTATTCATTTTAAATCTCAGTTTCATAAGACACGAGCACCCATTCCAACTCATCCTTTTACACTTTTTCAAATAATTATGTATTGACCTTCCCTGCAGCTCCAGCCTGATCCACTTCTAAGTCACGCATGATTTCCAATTGTGCCTCCAGCATTTAAGACGCTTCCTCTGCTGGTTTGGGTGTGGGGCTATAGATCTTATGCGTGTAATTACAAATGGCCATATGGCAGTCCGCCATGCAAATGCTGCATGACTTGTTTATCCAAGGGTGTAAATCTCTGGGCTATAACAAAAGGCTGAAAACCATTCCAAGTACAGAAAGCACTGGTGGTATTTCCTTTCTGCGTTGTGACTGAGTCGCCTGGAATTTCTTTGCATCTTGCCAATGAATAAACAGCACTCAGGCTCCTCGGGCATCTGTCAGAACTAAAGGTCTCAGATGTAGCTTTTAGGATAATAAATGGAATATAAAATAATAAACACAAAACAAACACATGGTTCTTGTTTAAGTGGGAGGATTACAGTTGGCCCAGTCTGAGAGTTAGGAGTCAGAGTGATTAAGGAGCAGAGAGCTGCCAGCACAACCATGAATTATGGAGGACGAGGGAGCAACAGAGTGGGAGAGAGCCAATTTGCTTGTGAAAACTTTAAAAATGTATGCCAGAGTTCCCTGAGGCAGAGTAGGAGCCCTGCAGCATCCATCAGCCGTACTGGAGGAGAGCGAGGCTGCCCGGACTGGTCCTGAGATGTCCGGTGAAAGGCGGACGCCCAGGCTTCAAGCTTTGCTGTCTAGCTGGGTCTGGGCTCCTCTGCCGCCTCCAAGGATTGTATAGTAAACCACCCTCTCTCAGGTACAGAGGGCACAGGGTGCTCCCCAGGGGTTCTGCCAGGGTCAGAGGGGTCCACTGCCAGTGCACTCCATGCTCTTCTTCAAGGAGCTCATTTTTCTTGACACCCCTAGCAGGATCCTAAGACATCCCTATGCCTGCAACAAAGGCCCTGTTGTGGAGTGGTCCTGTGCTTGAGGGCACCTCCATATTGCAGCTCCCGGGCACGGTGTTCTTTCTGCTGCAACTGAATTCCTGCAGGCTCTCTTCCTTAGCTTCCAGCCTTCATCAGGCCAAAACTCTTGCATTCCATAGCAAGGGAGACACAGCAGCAAGGCAGGTTAGCAGGTCACAGTCATTTGAAAATATACATATATCTCTTTCAAGAAGCTGGCGGAATAGCAAGTGGAGCGAGTCCCATTCCCTTCTGTCCTGCCCCGGTGTGGTGTCATTTCTGTCGAAACTGATGAGCTAGGGTTTTATAGCATTACCAACCAAATGGATCGCTTGCCTAGTTTCTGTCTAAGTGTACTCTTGGTGTTTTTGCACTGCATGGGTTGAAAGGGTGCCCCACCACAGCCTCCTCTACAGAACCTGCCCTGTTCTAAAATCCCCATGCTCTGCTTGCTCATCCCTCCTTTACTGAGAAATGCAAAGCTTTTAAAATCTTCACAAATTTGTCACTTTCAGGCTTTTACGGAGCTGTACTCTTGCAGTTTCTAGCCCTTTTAGACTGGTTTCTTTTTTTTTAAAATATGGGCACATGTGTGTTGCGTATGTTTGTGCACATGTGTGTACTTCTCTGTGTGTATTCATCATGTATGTTAGCATATATGTTTATGCACTATGAATGAATGTGCGCATGTGTGTATGAGAATGTGTGTCTCCGTGACAATGTGTTCATGATTGCGTGTGTGTGTGTGTGTGTGTGTGTGTGTGTGTGTGTGTGTGTGTGAGAGAGAGTTTTGGTTTCATTTCTGGTGCAGAGGCAAACTATTCTAACAAGAGGCCATGTAGGGAGAAAGGGTTTATGTCTTTCTTATAAATGTAAGATCTGCAGTAAAGTCTCTTCTTCCATTTCTGATCTTGATACTCCCTTTTGTCCTCGGGCTCTCTCTGTGCCACACCCCCTCATCAATTTTTCTAGAGCATTGTTAATGTTTGATGTTTTTTGTTTTGCTCTGGTCTGTGTTAGTTAACTTCTTTCTCTCCGAGTTAATGTGTATAGCATTGCCAAACGTTCTCGGCATGCAAGCTTCACTCACTAGTTTGATGCCTCTGGGGAAGGACCTGTAGGCATGCTGGAGAGGCTTGGCCATTTCTCTTCACTACATCAGCGAGGACAGTGACCCTCTGTTAACCCAATGTGTCAACGACTGAACTGTGCTGGTTCCTCTTGGCATTTCTTTTTCCAAGACTCACACATGGCAACTATTCTCAGGGCTCAGCAATAGTCACTGTCTCCCTTTCCTCAAGACAATGCTGAGAAGCTGTGGAAACAGTTTGCCAGCGCCTCCATCCAAACGGAGAAACTGAGTTCGACCTTGATAACGGCCGAGGAGTTCCCCCAAATATGTGTGTATCTGTGTGGTCTGCAAGGGCTTATGCTCTGTGCCTGGGGCAGCATGGGTACCCTGGGGACCGTGCCACACATCTGCCACCAGCGGGTGTGCAGAGCCATGCTATTCACAGCGTTCTCTGCTTCCCAGGTTTACTTTGATGCTGTGGATCGATCCACAGGGAGAGTTGTGGATGAATCCCTGATTTTCAACATTAGGATCAGAGATGTGAACGACCACGCTCCCCAGTTTCCTGAAGAGGAATTTAACATCAGTGTAAAAGAGAGCCACGCTGCAGGTGTGTTGGGTGTGCTGTGCTGTGTGCGTACTCCTGTCTTTGCCCTGTGTGGATTTTATTTATTTCCCCCCCTTCCTGCTTTGCTATTGATGAGGACTTTGATCTTGGTCACTCAGGGAGACTTCGCTGCTCACATTTCAAAGGTCGCAGGCCCAGAATCCCTGAAGGCTTTGCTCTCTGTCAGCTCTATGTTGTGTTAGCAAAAGGAAGACGTGGAAATTGTGCCATCTGGAAGAGCTGGTGTGTAAATGCAGCCTAGCAACAAAGCCACACCTAGGAGAACAGAGACAGAGACAGAGCTCTGGGAGACTCACCAGGGCCGGGCACGTGCCCCATCTGCAGAATGGCAGGACAATGACATCTGGCCCCCGGGTTTCAAAAACTGAATCTCTATGTGCCAAACTAATTTTTCTAGAGGGAAAGCCTATTATTATATATATAGGCTTTAGAAAAGTTATATATATCTAGAAAAATTATATATATCTATATAATGAAAAGCAGTGTTTAGTATTGTAAAATAGCCTTTGGAATACTCCAAGAACTGAAAATATGGAAATAGCATTTTCAGAAGTTTGTAAGGTTTTATAGTATTCTTCTTTGCATTTTGTATGCATGTTTACACACAATTTACCTTGTCTGTGTTTCTGCATTCATCAGGTTTTATATATGTGTATAAGTACACATTCACATACATACTTTTTCTGATAGTGGAAATGTATATATATTAATACTTAACTATTTATAGATATTGAGTATTTCTTTCTATATGTGTGTATTTCCTCTTTTTTTTAAAAAAAAAAGCTGTTTTGGGTCAGTGAGATGGCTCGGACTGCAAAGAGTGTGCTGCTAAATCCTGAGATCCCAAATTCTAGCCCCAGAACTCAGATAACGGTGGAAGGGGAGAACTGACTCCACAAGGCTGTTCTTTGACATCCATGCTTGTTCTGTGACATGCACGCCCTCATCCCACAGACACGGTGGATAATATAAATATTTTACCTACAACACCTCCCTGCACATCTTGTACACTAGAATTTGTGTGTGTGTGTGTGTGTGTGTGTGTGTGTGTGTGTGTGTGTGTGT